AGAGTTCTACCTGTATTTCTTGATCATTTTGCACATCGTTAGTAACAGGACATTGGAACTGCGGGAACCGCAGCAGTTGTTGGGACCACGTAGGGAGAGATGACGTCTCTCCGAACAGCCTGACTCTAAAAATACTACCTTGAAAATAGGCGTGATAAAATTTCTTTTGCCTCGCCCAAGGACACAATTTGAAATAAATGTCTACATGTACATATCGTTGAGGATTTTAAGTGACACAAAGAGCAACATGATCTTAGCTGAGTAAATCGTGACAATCTTTTGAGTTAATCAAGCTATTATAGTAATCATAGCCTCGTGTCTTTTTTCATCTGAACCACTGGAAACCTACTTTTGCCCACCCCTGTATTTGAGTGGTCCTAGACTTCCTCATACTTACATATATAGATATTATGGTTTATTAATTTGTATTTATAGAAGGTTGCAGGATCGTATGGAGTTCAAACTCCAGATGTGGCATTTAGTTATGTGACCTTGAGCAAATAGCCACTGCGAGATTCAGGTTTTTTTGTAAGGATTGTATTGGGGATCATGGATTGCCAAGCACAGAAAACAGCTATTATAAGGGAAACAAAGAAATTGATTGGAAGGATATCAAGAATGTAGCAGTCTAGAGAACCGAGCTTAATAGAGGACAGGAACCAGGGCCGATCTGGGAAGCTAAGTCCCAGAGCAAATAGACTTTATCTCCTGTGTTGCTCGGCCCCAGGTTCAGTGGTCCAGGGGAGAGTCTGATTGGCCCAACTTGGGTCAAGTGACACTAAGAATAGGGGAGAGCACCTTAATTGGCATCCCTTTCTCTTTTGCTCAGCACAGGATAAAGGTGATGCCCAAAAAAGATACCAGCTTGCTTTCAGCAGAATGACAGTGGTATGGCCAAAATCCAACAGATGTCACCCCATGGCTATTAGGAGGATTTTTAATAAAGTAGATAAACTACCTGGATTGATGCCTGGAAAAGAATGGGTTTTTAATAAACAACAGAATTGATTGAGAAATTGCCTGCTGCTTTGAAAAGGATCCTACCTGCAATATTCTTTCTCCTGAACTAGATTGTACGCTACATGAAGACAAGGTCTTGGCTATTTAAATCTTTGTGTTATTCAAGTTCTCCACATACTAGTTGGTATACAATGTTTTAGTTTTTGTCCAGCACCCTATGGGTCTTCCCATGATCTTAATACTCCCAGAGGAGTGCTCAGGTGGTGTGGCACGGGGAGGGGTTTTAGGATAAGAGTGGTTCATGGTGCTTTTTCTCTAACCCCACTCTTGTTCTCTGTTGGTCTGGAGAGCCTGTGGGAGTGCAGGGGTGAGACCATTGGTATGCCTAGGGTAGTCTTGAGTGTGCTTTATTTTGTAAAAGAGTAAATTGGTTACAAAATTTGGCATTTGAAAAATGAGTGTGTATGCACACACATACACAAACAAATGAACTTTAAAAAAAAAATTCAGTTCAAGTTGCCACTCTCCAGGGTTGATAAGAAGTTTAATACAAAATCATTTTGGTACCCCTGGCCCATGCTCTTCCCCTTTGGAATGATATGCCCTCTTGGCTCCCATCCTGGGGTTCAGGCAGTCCAATAACATGGACCTTGACCAGCATTAGTTACTTTTGCGACTGGTCCTTGCCCAGTTGGACCTGCCGGCTGCCTCTTTCCCAGCCCTGAACTTCTGGGCATGGGTCCTGAGCACAAGTCATTTGAATGCTCGACCTCCAAAGTACATAGCTCTTGCCATTCAGAATTCGGTGCCCTCCCCCACTCCCCAAGCCCCCACAGTCAAGAGGCAGACAAGACTCTCTCTTAGAAGCAACCCCGCAACGTGCTCTCCAGTCCACAGAGATCTGTGCACTGCTGGCATCAGGCTGCTCTTTCTTCCCTTTAGCTCTCTCTCTCTTTTTTTTTAAGTAACAACTTTGTTGAGATATAATTCACACACCATACAATTCACCCATGAAAACTGTACAATTCACTGATGTTTAGTATATTCTCAGGGTTATGCAACTATCACCACAATCAAATTTAGAATATTTTCATCACCCCTAAAAGAAAGTGGGTATTCATTAGCAATTCCTCCCATACTTCCTCCCCGCCACCCCCCAGCTCTAGGCAACCACTGCTCTTACTTTCTGTCTCTGGGTTTGTCTGTTCTGGACAATTCATATAAATGGACTCAGACAAAATATGGTTTATGTGACTGGCGTCTTTTACTTAGTATAACAGTTTCAAGGTTCATCCATGATGTAGCATGTGGTTGGTTTCATTTTATTGCTAAATAATACTCCATTGTGCAGATATACCAAATTCATTTCTCCAGTCAGCAGCTGGACATTTGGGGTCCTTCATTTCTTAAAGCAACAAGTACCTCTCTTTTTGGCTCTTTTCCCCTGGTGGCCCCAGATCAGGGATTGTAGACACAATTGTCTGTCACCTACAGTAGGAGAAGTAGAAAGCGAGAAGAAATGAGAAAACAAATGTGCCCATCTAGATAGGAGTAACCTTTTCTCAGCCATTGCCAAGTGCCCATCCAGATGTGGTACCATTAGATCTTCAGACTGTTTCAGAAAGGCCAGACTCTTTTTTTTTCCCCCTTTGGCCTTAAATGACATGGTGGACCAAATGGACACAATTGGCATTTACAGAGCCTTTCATCCCAGAACATCAGATTATGCATTCTTCTGCAGTGCACATGGAAATTCTCAAGGATAGATCATATGATGGGTCACAAAACTACCCTCAACAAATTCAAGAAGATTGAAGTCGTACCAAGCATATTCTCTGACCACAATGCAAAAATGACATTCCATTGACGCCCAGTTAACTGCTTGAATCAATGGCTATAATTTTCCCTCTATATTTGTGCAAAATAATTAGCAGTGATTATGAAATCTATAGCAAGCTTTAGAGTAAGGCTAACTAAATATTTCTCATTATGTTTAAAGTGATGGGGGGGAGTGTTTGTCAACACAGGTGGTTCCCTTATATAAGGGACATGTAACCTTACATGTATTAAATCATTCTTTGCTATTAGTCCTAATAGGTTGATAAGAGAATTTTTTTTTCAATCATTCAGCTTCAAAATTGGGAGGCTGCTTAGAACACATCCCAGATATATGTCCTACCTTTACGGCTTTGGCACAATAGTTATAATGAGGTCCAATTGAAGATTGGATGGGGAATAGTAAACTAAAAATTCTTTACAAGTTGTGTAATATCTAAAGAAACAAAATATAGTTTTTCACTGTAAGAAAAACCAAAAAAAAAAAACCAAACTGGGTTTTGATATTAAAATTTCCTAACTTCTAAATATTGGTCAATTAAACAAGCACTGTATGGGAGAGATAGAATACAATTCTGGATGAGACTCAATGTTGAAGGTGATGTTAAGTGACGCAGAAACACATCTCATCTTTGAGCACATATGCAGGGTGAACCGGAGCCTTCGTGAGCTCACCTGGCAACGTTGCCCTCTCATTTAGCAACCCCAACTGGTGGTTTTCAAGTGTTTCCTCATTTTCACAATATATGAGTTAACATGAATTAATCAGTCATTGGGAGCAGATGTGCACATGAATTACTCAGGCATTATGCTTAAAGAAATACTAATATTAACAGCAGAATAACAGATATGGTAGACATCATTAAATTAACCCATCTCAACCAAACTATCAGCTTTCCCTCCCCTCTCCTCACCTCTCCCTTCCCATTTGTCTTCCTTGCTTTCCTCTTCTTTATTTTCTTAATTTCCCAGTTAATAAGGGATAATTGCTTGTGTAAGGACCCCTGTGATTACACTGGACCTACTTGGATAACTGAGGGTAATTTCTCTGTGTTAAAATCAGCTGTTTAGAGACCCAGTCCAATCTGCAACCTCAATTCCCCATTGCTGTATATAAACTAACATATTTACAGGTTCCGGGGATTAGGACATGGCCATCTTTGGTTGGGGCATTCCTCAGCCTCCAACAAGTAGCTACTATGTACCAGGCAGTGTATGGACTTCCAGTCTGTTTGATTCTATTTTGCTCTTATCAGTGACAGCAGGAGATCTGTGTTCTTTCCATTTTTCTATTTGAGTGAATATAACCAAATCGTTCATCTTGAATATCCACATCTTCAGACGCACCACAGATAATACCATCTGTTCATGCGTGTCAGCTAAATGAAAAGCACCTAGTACCTGATGCCACCACCAACTTCAAGAGAAGGGCTTCCATTTGGGGCAGTGGCTGTGGGGCAGTATCAAGCTCCCTGTGACATATCCAGACGGGCCTCTCATTATCGAATGATGCCTTTTTATTTCTTGGTGTCATTCTCTCGCCTATCACAGGTTAAGTGACACTGACAATATAAAAGCTAACCTTGGTTGGCCTCATCCATTTTCATAAAGATGGGAAATGGGAGAATGTGTGGTATTTATTATCTCAACTGGGACACCTTGACGAGTCAAAGGAGGCACTACTAATAATTATACAGGAACAATAGGTATAAAAGGCGACTGTGCTGGGAACACCAGGCCATGGGGTCTGCCTAGACATTGGGTACAAATGAATAATAACAGGCATAGATACTGTGACTATGTATTGAGTACCCCATAGGATCAGAGCACTGTAGGAGCTTCACGTTCAATTCTTAAAACAATCTTGTAGGTGGTATTATTGTCATTACTTTTATTCATCCCTATTTTAGAGTGGAGGAAAAGAAAGCTCAGAAATATAAACACCTAGCTTAAGCTAGTAAGCTGCCAAGTTAGGATTTAAACCCAATTTTGTAAAACTCTACAACAAATGCTTTTTCCATTATATTGCCTTCCAGGAAAAAAAAAGTGTAGTTTCCTGGAAATGCTTGAATTGCAGTTGTCAGCTGGATATGGTTAGGTATTTTAAGAGTGACATGACCCGTGAGGACTGAAGTATGTCTTTATGAGAGGTTTGTGTTAAGTCAGGAGCTATAACAGATGCTTTTTCTTCATCTTGTCTTCAGGTCTGTCAGTTTGTCGTCTCTGTCAACGGGCTCAACGTGCTGCATGTAGACTACCGGACCGTGAGCAACCTGATTCTGACGGGCCCACGGACCATTGTCATGGAGGTCATGGAGGAGCTGGAGTGCTGAGCAGGGGGCCTGCCCAGCCCTTCAAGTGGCCTATGGATGAGCGATGCCAAAACAACACGAAGCAATGCAACGACAAGACTCCCATGCCCGTGGGTGGCTTTGGACGTACAGATCTTTTTCCGTGCACACACATCTTAATTCGGGTTTCATACACTGTTTGAATGTGGAAGGACTGGGTAACACATCTTAAAAAACAACAACTTATGCCGGTGTCGAAAATACTTGAGACACAGGAGTGTCTCATTGCGTAGAATCGCTCTATTTGATTTCCCTTTGTAGTTCTCACCCACTGTTTTTTATCTTAGTTTGCAGAAAGCGGTTGAAATGCTTCTCTAGCCAAAACAGCAACATGCTAAAATCCCCTTCCTAGGGGTCAATAGAGTAGTTTCTTGCAGACTTTAAACTGTAGTCTCACTGAAATGAGCATGGGACCGCTTAATAGAGAATCTAGATTGTACCGAGCTTCAAATGAAAGCAACAGTCAAAGGAATAGTACCTTGTGAATTAGCACTTCGAAGGAAGTTCTAAGGCGTTTGAGTGCTTAAAATCCATCAAAAAATGGCTATTTCTTAATTTTTGCCTTTAGTATCAACTTTTAACATATGTTTTCAACATATGTTAACAAACAAAAACTTTGTGATGATATGGGTGGGTAGATAGAGAGATACTACTTAAAATTGTTTGCTGTTTTCTCTGTCTGAGCCTAAATCATGTTGTTCTGTCAGCTACCCCAGCTTTCTAGAATTAATGCTGAACGTGTTGAATGTCAAAACAAGAGAAGTTTATATATACACATATAATTCAGAATCACGTCTCTGGCAAGATTTCACTCTGAAGTTGTCCCTTTTTAAGTGACGTATTCTAGAACTTGGCCCATATGTGATTAAAACTTGAAATTAAATTGCCTTATTGGCCTGAATTTTTACTAGCTTTCTAGTATAACATATTCTAAGGACATGACATGCTGCGTATTTGGTGAGATTACCATATTTTGCTATGTATAATACATACTTTTTGCCCAAATTTTTGAGGAGAAAATAAGGATAAGCATAATACATCGGTATAATGATTGCATAACATGCATCTAATAATCCCATGTATAATGCGCACAAAAACGTGGGTGGGCATTATCCACGGGAGTACATTATGCACTGCAAAATGCAGTATTTTTCACCAAAAGCAAGCCTTGTGTGTTGTAACTTTTCAGCTCACTTGTATATATGCATGTTCCCTTCTTTTTGATTATTATTATTATTATTATTTTGATCTAGAAAAGAATGCATTTTGGGGCTTGGTGTATAGAGGAAATTCCTCAAAGTGCCAAATTAGGGAGTCAGGGAATGCTGAATTCTTCTTAATTTTGTATAATGAATTCTGAATGATGAAGTTACTTTCTTATTATGTATTAACAAAATAAAATATGAATGATGTACCTCAGCCATTCTTTTTATGATAGGTTATCATAATGTACTGGTACTGGTGGAATCGACATACCATGTTAAAGGTGTTGCATATATGTTTGTGCAATCCAACTTTTCTGACCTGTAGCTGTAGTGAGAGAATAGGATTTTGAAGTGAGATACAATGGTTAATATTAATATCATCGATCTACATTTGAGAAACATTATCATCTCCATACATATTATTGTATGTGCATTTATACTGGATACCAGCATTTATGCTACAGATCTTGACAAATATGATCTCTTTTATCCCTCATCACAACCCTGCAAGGTAGGTATTATCATCCTCCCTTTTTGGTTGTGGAAACTAAGTCTGAGCAAGTTTAAAATGGTCTCTAAGTTCACCCAGCTGCAAAAACCACTAAGTGATAGGAGCCTGGATTTGAACACGGGCTTCTGTCCTGTGTTACCACCCCCAGCCCCAGCCTTTCCCCCTTTAGGAACCTTCTGTTGGAGGCTTACTCTGTACCAGGTGCTGTGCTAAAGCTATTCATTACTTACTCCTATTGACCAGTGAGGTCAAGATCATTGCCCTCATTTTACAGCTGAGGAAACTGACTCATAAAGAGGTTAGTCAGTCTTATGCCCAAGGCCCACACAACCAGTAAGTGGGAGGCTTTACTATCCCACTTTAAGAGATGAGTCTTAAATGATATCCGTCCCCAGGTATTCACTAGTGGACAAGAGAAGGACAGCCTTTCAGGAAATGGCATCTTCTTGACTGCTGCTTGTACGTTTTACTCACGTCTTAAAGCCTGTCATCATAGACCCTGGCATAATGTCACTTCCCTTTAGCCAATCTAAGCCCCAGGGAAGTGAATGTCTGACTTTATTTACTCCGCACAGCTTCCTGCCTGTGAAATCTATTTGAGGGTGTCGCTGATGTCTTTGGACCTATGAATAACAAGGTTAAGGAAGGAAGGGAGGGAGGGAGGAACGGTTTTCTACTTTGGCTCTCATCACTCTCAGTTTAAAGGCCAAGTGCTAGAGAATTCTACTTAAGGCTAAGAGAGCTTCACCTTAGCTCGCCCTAGAGCCAACCTGTGGCCTCTTCACACTAATTAAAGTGAATGCTCCCCGTCCTCTCAGGGGGTCTGTCGGGCTCCCTCCAGCCTTCTCACATGCAGTTTCTCTTCCCTGGAATGTCCTTTCTCTGTCTTTGCTGGAAAAGTCTCCCTCATTAACTCATAAAGCTTGTTGGGTCCAGAGCCTGGGCCAAACGCCAGTCCCCTGCCCCCCGGCCTATGTCCTTTTCGGTCCAGCATTTGCTGCGTCAGGTAATTTGGTGAACACAGGCCTTTGGGTTTGGGGTACTTACCAATGCAAATAGAGCCAGGTACCTGTGCAGGTGAAGGGTATACATTTTAATTGACTCAGGTTGTTAAATCGTATCCTTAAAAAGTAAGTATTTTGTGTGGTATGTGATGGTTAGGACTGCTTTAACATTTAGAAACTCTATTCCTAAATGTAATAATAATGATTCTAAACAGCAAGTAGTATTTCTAAGAACTTTTATTTCAATGTAGGCGTGCATCTGTGTGTAGCAGTACATGGCGTGTAAGGTTTCCCTCACTGAGAATCCCTGAAATGGCTTCTTCATTCCCAGAGAAGATACTTTTGGTTTTCAGGTGTTGGTGTAATATGTTCATGATTTTGTGGTAGAGATGGAAGTAGTTTTTTGTTTCTTAGCATTGTAGGTGCTATCAGTGCAAATCTGACAGCCGCGTTTGTCAGTTCTGTTGTATGTAGAGAGGAAAATGCAGTTGCCTTTTGGACTGCGTGATGTTTTATTTTTAACCTCTGTTAAATAATTTATAAATTGATCAGGGGACTAGTTGAGCAATGATGGGTAACATGAAGAAGATATCCATGTCTGAGTAGATTAGATGGATCAACTTCACACCATCTCAAAGGAAAATGTGTTGGAGTGGTAGCAATGAATAATTTAAAAATTATAGCTTTCAGTTCAAAATGGAGCCTCACATTTTCAGATCCTCATTCCTTTCAAATATGTTGTGAAAATACTCTACCTTCAAGGCCTATTTTAAACTGATGATATTAACTATCCTCTCCTGTTGCGTATTAATCCTGTTTCATTTTACTCGTAAATGATCAGAATAACTCTTTTCAGTTTTGCTGATTAGTTAGAATCTACTATGTCATCGACTATAAATTTACTCATTTAATGCAGAACTTCAGGTGGAATATGTTTTTCTTCGGTTCAATACCAAAAGGACAAATCTGCAGTGTATCAAAATGAAGACCATCATCAAAGTTAGCATATGCTATTGTCAAATGCATTAATATATGTACTTAATATATGTTTATTTTTAAATTAGATTGAAATTTATGTTCTCCCTTTATTAAAAATTGTAGCATAATACTTAAAATTATAAGGTGAAAATAGTATAGCATGAAATAAATGTTAAATTTTTAAAACAGTGACTTTAGGCTTTTATTTTTTCTGTCTTTTAGAACAAATTTGCTATTTTTTATTCTAAGAGAGGATTGCATTCTGAAGCTGATCAACTACTAACCTATCAGAAGAGAACACATGGGACTCATCTCCAATTCTCTAATGTAGCCAAAAGTGCCATTTGTAAAACTACTTAATGATGGATGTTTTCTGAAGTTCTTTTGCCTGAGTGGGGGGAAGTGCATTAAAAAGCTTTTTCTGTACTGTATTTGAGTTGGAATCATTTTGTCCCTACACAACGTAGTATTGATGAGTGTTGTGAAATAGTCTATATGGAAAATACTAGATGGTTTTTTACTACTCTGGGAGAATGTCCGCATTTTTACTTTCAACAAAGTAGGAAATTGGTTACATAACTCATTATGTGTAGGGCCCAGGGTAGAGTCTGGGGGCGAGTGGCTACTTGGACTACTGTCAACATTAACCAAAAGAACTTCACTTTTTTTCATATCTATTCACTTAGTTATTTATTCAAGAAACCTCACTGAGGATTTCTGTTTTGCTGGATGCCGCGCACAGGCCTTGGGAATGCGAAACTGAGTAGGCATAATCCCGGATCCAGCTTATTCTTTAAGAGTGACCTATGGCCCTGGCCGGTGTGGTTCGGTTGGTTGGGGGGTCGGTTGAAGGGTTGTCCCATATACTGAAAGGCTGCAGGTGCGATCTGGTCAGGGAGCCTATGAGAGGCAACCGATTGATGTTTCTCTCTCTCTGTCTTGCTCCCCCTTCTCTCTCTAAAAGCAATGAACGAAAGTCCCCAGGCGAGGATTTAAAAAAAACGTTGGGTCTATCTCCTACAATCATCTCCACACAGAGGGAGGAATATGAAATAACAGTGTTGAAGCAGATGATTTAATGCCAGAAACTACCCAAGAACCAGAACACTGACAACAGCTTATATTTAATTGTATTCTCTTTCCCAGTCTTCCCCCACTCACCCTAACCCAAGGTAGCCACAAATGGTGAATGTTGAGTTGACCATTCTCTCGTTCTTTTTGTTCTTAATATTTGCTTACATTTTTAAAAAATAAAAATTTTTAAAAGAGCATCAAATTTTAAGTAATCTTTTGGGACTCATTTGTTTTAATTCAGGATCTTTTTACTAAGATTCTTCTAGATTTTTATGTGTGGTTGTAATTAATTCATTTTTCAAGGGTTCAAAAATTTCTAGAACACACATTATTTGTCTACTTTCTTGTCATTAGACATTTGGGTTATTTCCATTGATGTTGCCATAAATGAGGTTACTATGAACATTCTTACACCATCTCCTGGGAACAAGTGGAGGAGATTCTCTTAGGTATCCACTTAGGAGAGAATTGCGGAGGCATGGGAAATGTGAATGCTAACTTTATAGGGTCACAACTAACTAGTTTTCCAAAGTGGCTGAACTATAGTACACTCCCATCTAAAATATAAAAGTGATATATGTTCATCAGTATCTTAGACAACACGTGATATTCTGAGACTTCTTCATTTTTGTCAAATAAATGTCTATTTGGTCAATGACACTGGGAGTCCTAATTTGCTACAAAGCTCACAAAACTTGAAGCACCAAAAAACGTAAAAAGTAGTTTGTAATCCTAACTTACTACTACATCAGTATCTGCGTGATGCCCAGGATGTCTTCCAACTTTGGCCTACAACAGCTTTGTGATTCCACCGAGGAGAGGATTCTTGGAAGTCAGTATAACATATTCAAGGACATTTAGAAATAATTTATTAAGCACCTAGAATGGGCCTGTCACTAAGTCTTAATTACTGCAAATAGCAGTAATTAAGACCAGTTCCTGACCTTCTGAAGTTTACGTATTGTTGGGGGGAAATAGACAAGTTATATAAATAAAGCAGTGCATTTTAGTTAGAGGTGAGTGCTAAGAAGTAAAATGAAACCAGATGAGGTGATAGAAAATGGAGTTGCCACATTACTCAATCCTATGAGGCGCCATTCAAGTTACAGTCTACATGAACAGCGCCCCCTGGAGTTATGCCGTACAACAGCCCTGAGCAAAAAAAAATAAACCTAGGCAAACCTGGTGTTAGGAGTTAATGCCTAACGGGGGATTGAGCCAGCCTTAGAGAAATCTGGAAGGAATGTATTACAGACAGAGACGACAGCAAGGCTAAAGGTCCTGGGGCTGGAAAGGTCATAGGGATTCAGAGCATGGGCTCATAATTAGATGTTTCTTTTGTTTTTATGCCCACTAACCAAAAGAAAAAAGCACTCAGGGAAACTTATGACTTGACTTAAAACTCACACCAACAAATGTACCCCTCGGACCAAACCCCTGGCCCATAAATGTTCAGTCGGATGCTTTTTTTTAGTACATCTTTCTGTGCTTGGTTTTCTCATTTTTTTAATGATATAATAATATCTCACACAGCCATTATAAAGATTAATGAGGTAATATATTTAAAAGTCAGTACGGTGCCTGGTACATAATAAGAGCTCCAAAAATTACTATTGATAGCTATTAATCACTTTTACTATACCATGCAGATTCCATCATCTTATGAGACCCACACTAATTCATAGGATTGTATGTATTTTCTCAACATTATCTTCATCATCAACAACATACACTTCAGTTGTTTCAATTGTTACAGACTATGTATATCCAAAGAAACCCAAAACTTAATTCAAAAAATATATATGCACCCCCACATTCACTGCAGCATTATTTACAATAGCCAAGATGGAAGCAAAAAAATAAAGTGTAAAAAAGAGTAAAAAAGTGTGGAACATTTGCACAGTGACCTACTACTTGGCCATAAAAAATGAAATCTTACCTTTTACCACAGCATGGATGGGCCTAGGAGAGTGATTTTAATGGCATACATAAACTAATAGCTAAAGTTCTGTGGCACACCAAACAATGTATTTTTGCCAATCTGACAAAAAAACTAGTATAATTTTAATGTATTCACACCAGATACTATTGTTGTGTTGGCTGTTCTCATTTTTTTTCTTTGACAATCTAAGGGAAAAGAGGTCAGTGGCCCTGACTAAATAGCTGGGTATTGCATGTTTTAAAAATGTTTGTGGCACACCAGCGTGCCTCTTGCAGCACACCAGTTGAAAATCGTTGACTCACAGGGTATTATGTTAAGTGAAAAGTCAGTGAAAGACAAATACCACATGATTTCACATGTATGTGGAATCTAAAGAAAAAAATTAAACAAAATAGAGACTCATAGTTACAGAGAACAAGGCTGCGGGTTGCCAGAAGGGGGGTGCGTTGGGGGACTGAATGAAACAGGTGAAGGGATTAATAACCACAAATTGGTAGTTACAGAACAGTCACAGGGATGCAAATTAGAGCATGGAGAATATAGTCAATAATATGGTAACAATTATGTACGGGGCCAGTTGGGTACTTGAAATATCAGAGGGACCACTTTGTAAAGCAGATGAGTGTCTAACCACTAAGCTGTACACCTAGAACTAATACAGAATAATACTGAATGTAAACAGTAATTGAAAAAAAATCATCACAGACTAGATAATAGTAGGGTGAGAAAATACATATATGACCCACTGTTTTCAATGAAGTACATTAAAAGAAATCGCCCCTGCCATCGCTTTTGCTATGTTCCTCAGATACTGAGGAGGAGGGAAATCCCCAGGTTAGTCAAAAATATATCTTTGGATTTGTGGCTGTAGGTTGGGGAAGAACAAAAATAATTTCGCATTGGATCCGTATCTTATTCAGCTACCTAGCTTTTAAAACTGAAAATTATATGTAAATGACTTAGCAAACATAATGTTTGAAACGCAAGATTTCATAGGAAATAATTCCACCAAACTGCAAAATATCGTCTATCTACTCCCTGATCACGCTCTCCAGCCGTTTTACAGCCTGTTCAGAATGCAGTAAAGGTAATCAATTGCGCTTTACATCCACAGCAAACCATAGTTCCAAGGCCAAATGGAGATTTCGTCTCCATTTTAAAGCAGTCCCTTCCCTGAGCACACTCTAATGGAGACAGTATTCCATTTGTCTTTCGTGGGAAGCTTCTGAAGTCTAGAGGCCTCAGAGCTTTGTGCTGGAGTTACGTAAGCAGAACCTGTGCTTCTGTTAGCACAAGCCTTCTGCAGGCAGCGTGGAGGCACAGGCTGCTGCTTGCCTGGTACGTCTGATGAATGTTCTGGGCAACGTAAAGGATTTGGCTGAGGCAGCTCTTGTTCTTACACCTGGGGCTTGACAACTCTCCTCCTTTGCGTGTCATTCTGCCTAAGTGACTTCTTCTCTCTTTGTCTCCTGGGATCTTATTCTAAATACCCTTTGCTCCCTTGCAGTTAAATATTAACCTCGTTTCTTCCTGAAGTCTGAAGAGCCTGGGTCCACCAAGATCATTCATAACAGGAATTTCATGAAGGTGGCTAGTGACGCTTCTCCAAGTCCAGTTCGACGGATGGGCTGTGGGCTGACAGGGCAGTGAGAGGGGAAAGGGAGAGCGGGGAGGGCCCTTTGTTCTGTTGTGTCAGCTTTGAAAGCGTGTCCGTAAGTGTAGCCAAAAGTGTGCGACGGGCCCAGATTTGAAAAGACCTGAATGTCTCTGCCACTGGGAAAGGTGTAGGAGTGTGACAAGGGCCATGTGACATGGGAATGTGAAGGTTAGTTAATTATTAAGCAGGGAGACTGCCAGGTCTGGTGTTTATCAGCAAAAAGGGAGGGAAAGCAGAGCTGTGAGCCCAAGGAAGGTTGGAATCCATGAACATCAGACCAGCCCATCTGTTAGACAAAAGAGCCCCTGTTTTTCCAGACTTTTCATTCAGCCAGGCTGACCGACCTCAGATGTGAAACACTGTTTCTAGGGCTTTCCTTGGCTGACCTGGAATGGGAGGTCACCTACCATCTTACTTTTAAATTACACATTGTTTCTTATTACAAGCAATGATAATCCTCTCACTTAATGCTCTATTACTCTTCACTTCCCTGCTTCCTCAGAGAACTAGCTCTCCCAGACTCCACACACTCCCATCTTATTT